TCCCTTGTGGTCAGTTACATTCTTGGGGCATTTGTGACAAGAGTAAGGGTGTTAGCCCAGCTCAGGTAGCTCCCTAGTTAAGTTTCCCCTGGAGTTTCAATAGGATATGGCATTCCTCTTGTCCTAAATCACTGTGTAGTGTTGCTGTACATTGCTGCATAGGTGCCAGGCTCCATCCCAGAGCTAGCTGCATTTCAGTGGCAAGTAAGAGAAATTCCTGTAAAGACAGGGACAAGTGGCAAAACCTCCATTGCCTTCAATGGGTATAGGTTCAGTTCCTTTGTTGATAATACCGACATCTTCACAGAGGACTAGAGTTAAGTACCCAATTTCTCCTGAATGTCAATGGGTTTTGGACCCCATACTCCCTAAAACACCTTTGAAAATCTCAGTCTGAAGTGACCGAACCTGCTACTATATATACAATATCAGATGATATTAAACTGGAGCAGGGAATCCTGATGGAAGGCACATCAGTTAAACTGAAAAAAGTTTTTGTAATATCCAGCTTGGCCTTATTGAGGCCCAGTGACTCTGTTAGCAAGGAAAGCTGGAGCAATGGGACAAAGCAGCAGGAGGAGGAACAAACGAGAGCAGGGTGCTGAGACGGGTCTCTGGGTCATTCTGAGACGTGTCTATGCTACTGAACTCCCCTCCTTCTAGCTGTAGTTTTTTCTTCCCTTCCTTCCTAGTGAAGAACCATCACATCATCAGGAAAAGCAGTCTGACGTGGATGATAGTTTGTGAAAAAAGGAAGGAAGAGAGTACAGGGAATGGAAGGAAATGAAACAGGATGTAAAATGTCAGGTGTATATATGTGCGGCCTGGGGTATTGTAGCCCCTCTCTGTGCTGTGTCACAGTGACCTAAACATTATATTTCAATGAGTGATGGCCCCAAGAGGCAAAGTTCAGTGACAGATGCAGGATCTGGGCTTTTGCAGAGTTCACCAGGGATTGGACCGGGGCTTTAGTTTGCATCCATCTTGGATTGAAATGGGCATTTTGGGTTGTAAAACGTTAGCTGGAAAGACACAAAAGAAATGGAGGTTCAGATCCTCAGCTGGTGCAAGTCAGCCTGGCTCCCAGGAAAGCTATGTCTATTTGCACCAGCGGGGGCCTGGTGCAGAGGGAAAGTGAAAAGTGAGCGAATTCTAGACTGTGACAAACATTTCATTTTCTCCTCCAGCCACTGTTTGCTATAGTTATCACTGTTTATTATTGGTATTGTACTACAAGGAGCCCCAGTCATGGCCCAAGATCCCATTGCTCTCGGCCCTGTACAAACACAGAATAAAAGATTGTCAGCTCTTTGGTGCAGGGACTATCTTAGTGACCTCTTCATTACACACTTGGGACCTGACTGCCTTCTCATTTACAGTGAGGTAAATCTGGAGCAAAGTGAGAGGAGAATCAAGCCCTGAATGTCACTGACTGGCATTAAGAGGTATTGTTCCCACTGTAAAACAGCAACTGGTATCAAAGGCAAATGGATATTGCCAATTGCCAGAGGCCATTCACCAAAGACACTGTCTTCTATCTGGATCCTTCTGAGTATCCTCCAAGGGTTAATACTTCTGGTCTGCCATTGGAGAGGTTGGAAAACTGCCCTAGACATAGCTGGCGATCATTTACCTGTTCATGCTTCAGTGCAATGCCCAGAGAGGGTATAAAAGCATGTAAAGTTAGGATCCCTTATGTCAACAAATGGGTTTAACTGAATGTAAGGGAGCCTAAACTGGCATAGTGTTCTTCAATATATTTCCTAGCATTTGGCCTGGTCTATTTTGAAATGACTCCTGTGATGGGTTTCCAGCATGGCCCTCAGGAGACAATTCCACAATCCAATAAATCCTGCTGCTAGGATGTTCTCACTCTATGAAACATTCTCCATGAAAGCAAAGCTTCTTCATTCATATGCAAACACTGATGGTCAAGACTGCTCCCATGTCATTTCTCTTTAAATGAACTACTCTCACTTCTGGGGAGAACTTCATACCTAAACCATACAGAGAGTAGCAAGCACCCAAAGTGCATGGTTCATATTCCAAGTCACTGCCTGTTACTATGGCTATCCATACTGCAACCCAAATGGAATGCAAATTATTCATTTTAACCCAAAATACATGTGAGTGGCCAGAAGAACCAGATTTGGTTTTGCTCATTCCTGCTTTTAGGGCGTGACAAAGACAGGCGAATAGGAGGAAAAATTCTGAGTTTAAGTTAATGCTGATCTTACCTTAAATTACTTGGGCTCTTCATCATCTGCATGTGTATAATCACTAAGGGATTGTCTGATTACATGAATTTTTTTCAGGTTTCAGAGTAACAGCCGTGTTAGTCTGTATTCACAAAAAGAAAAAGAGTACTTGTGGCACCTTAGAGACTAACCAATTTATTTGAGCATGAGCTTTCGTGAGCTACAGCTCACTTCATCGGATGCATACCGTGGAAACTGCAGCAGACTTTATATACACACAGAGATCATAAAACAATACCTCCTCCCACCCCACTGTCCTGCTGGTAATAGCTTATCTAAAGTGATCATCAAGTTGGGCCATTTCCAGCACAAATCCAGGTTTTCTCACCCTCCACCCCCCCACACACAAACTCACTCTCCTGCTGGTAATAGCCCATCCAAAGTGACAACTCTCTACACAATGTGCATGATAATCAAGGTGGGCCATTTCCTGCACAAATCCGGGTTCTCTCACCCCCTCACACCCCTCCAAAAAACACACACACAAACTCACTATCCTGCTGGTAATAGCTCATCCAAAGTGACCACTCTCCCTACAATGTGCATGATGACCAAGGTGGGCCATTTCCAGCACAAATCCAGGTTTTCTCACCCCCCCACCCCCATACACACACAAACTCACTCTCCTGCTGGTAATAGCTCATCTAAAGTGACCACTCTCCCTACAATGTGCATGGTAATCAAGGTGGGCCATGTCCAGCACAAATCCAGGCTTTCTCACCCCACCCCACCCTTTTTTTTTCCTGGGGACACACACACACACACAAACTCACTCTCCTGCTGGCAATAGCTCATCCAAACTGACCACTCTCCAAGTTTAAATCCAAGTTTAACCAGAATGTCTGGGTGGTAGGGGGGGTAGGAAAAAACAAGGGGAAATAGGCTACCTTGCATAATGACTTAGCCACTCCCAGTCTCTATTTAAGCCTAAATTAATAGTATCCAATTTGCAAATGAATTCCAATTCAGCAGTTTCTCACTGGAGTCTGGATTTGAAGTTTTTTTGTTGTAAGATAGCGACCTTCATGTCTGTGATTGCGTGACCAGAGAGATTTCTGTAGTGTTGGTAGGGAGGCCTCTGTGGATTAGTATGTTGTTCAGTGGATTAGTATGTTGTTGTCTCTACGTAAAAGAATAAATGGACACAAATCAGATGTCAAGAATTATAACATTCATAAACCAGTCGGAGAACACTTCAATCTCTCTGGTCACGCAATCACAGACATGAAGGTCGCTATCTTACAACAAAAAAACTTCAAATCCAGACTCCAGCGAGAAACTGCTGAATTGGAATTCATTTGCAAATTGGATACTATTAATTTAGGCTTAAATAGAGACTGGGAGTGGCTAAGTCATTATGCAAGGTAGCCTATTTCCCCTTGTTTTTTCCTACCCCCCCTACCACCCAGACATTCTGGTTAAACTTGGATTTAAACTTGGAGAGTGGTCAGTTTGGATGAGCTATTGCCAGCAGGAGAGTGAGTTTGTGTGTGTGTGTGTGTGTCCCCGGGAAAAAAAAAGGGTGGGGTGGGGTGAGAAAGCCTGGATTTGTGCTGGACATGGCCCACCTTGATTACCATGCACATTGTAGGGAGAGTGGTCACTTTAGATGAGCTATTACCAGCAGGAGAGTGAGTTTGTGTGTGTATGGGGGTGGGGGGGTGAGAAAACCTGGATTTGTGCTGGAAATGGCCCACCTTGGTCATCATGCACATTGTAGGGAGAGTGGTCACTTTGGATGAGCTATTACCAGCAGGATAGTGAGTTTGTGTGTGTGTTTTTTGGAGGGGTGTGAGGGGGTGAGAGAACCCGGATTTGTGCAGGAAATGGCCCACCTTGATTATCATGCACATTGTGTAGAGAGTTGTCACTTTGGATGGGCTATTACCAGCAGGAGAGTGAGTTTGTGTGTGGGGGGGTGGAGGGTGAGAAAACCTGGATTTGTGCTGGAAATGGCCCAACTTGATGATCACTTTAGATAAGCTATTACCAGCAGGACAGTGGGGTGGGAGGAGGTATTGTTTTATGATCTCTGTGTGTATATAAAGTCTGCTGCAGTTTCCACGGTATGCATCCGATGAAGTGAGCTGTAGCTCACGAAAGCTCATGCTCAAATAAATTGGTTAGTCTCTAAGGTGCCACAAGTACTCCTTTTCTTTTTGTCTTTTTTTCACAACTGTCAGCTAAGTCCTATACCCACATGAAAAATTCAGCATTCGGGAACATTATGTGCAATTATGACTCTCCCTGAAGGATACTGTGTCCATAAAACACAAGACTGCTGATGTACTAGGTCTATAAGAGACTTGCTTATAGGATCTAGGTACACAGACCTGTGCTGCCCCTAATACTGCGTTGCTGTGGAGAGCCTTTGCGTTGCATACTAATAACCTGTATTTGTGGCAGGAGACATTTTCTCTCTGTATATAATAGAATTTGCTGGGAAAAGGCACCTTCCCTCCCTCACACACACACACACACACACACACACACACACACACAATCTATTGAAACTTACTCTCAGGCATCTGAAGTTTGTCTAACGCCTGCACAAGCCATGAATGTAACAAGCAGCTGTGCCACATTCTGAAGCTGTAACTTCCAGAATAAGTGTTGCCCACGATTGATTTGTTTTGAAAGAGTGTAAGGAGATGATTTGCCATTTCTTCCCCACAGTGGAAGCTTTATGGAGCAGACTGAATTTTGCAATTCTTTGTGACTGTCAGCTTGCTTGTGTTTTAGCAGGCAAGATGAACCCACCATCCAAGGGCAAGGTAGTGCTGACCAACATGAAGATACTGAGCAACGAAGGGAGTCAAACCCAGGGGCTGACACGAGAGCCACCTGCAGCCATGGACTTTGCAGCGGAATCCAGGCTTCCCAAAGTCGACATCCTATTAGAATGCCAGGGAAATCTGGGCACAAGTGACACCTCTGCAAAACCAGAATATGTGGCCACCCTGTCTGACCTCAGCACCTTAGAGTCTAAGTGCCAGCTTCACAGATTCTCCAAATTTGAATCAGAGGATTCTGGGGTTGAATTGCCAAGTGGAGCTAATTCTCCGTCTACACCAACGGGCTCTGAGAAGAGCTTTGTGCTTCACACCAGAGACTCATCTTGCGACTCCGGAGTGCTTAGCACCTCTTCTTCTCCAGGAACTGACCATGTCACAATGAGAAAGTGTAAAGACATCAGAGAAGCCAGCCAGTGTGCTTCAGAGAGTGAAAAGCAAGTTGAATATTACAGCCAGGCAGCAGACGTGGTGCAGATCCCTACAGCTTCCCTGGAAGTTTTCAGGGACTGTCAGGAGGGAGAAAGTCCTAATAAACTTTTTGGCCAAAGTGAAGGACAATATTTGGAAGAGAAACCCAGGAAAGAGATAGACCTTTCCATTAAAGTCACTCCTCCAGCTGCTGCCCCCATAGAAAAGCAAAGGCCAACTACCAACCATTACAAAGAGACCTTTGGGAGCATGCAAGATCTTCAGCTCCATGGACATCAGCTCAAAAAATATCCCACAAGCGACAGCCTGGATGAGTACATGGATGAGTGCTGTCGATTAAGTGAGGTAAGAAACCACACATGCAAGTTGGAATGCTACAGGTGGGATTTTCAAATTAGTCTAAGCTGCATAAGTAAAAATCCCATTGACTTCAATGGGAGCAGAGTTAGGCCAACTCTGAGTGCTTTGTAAACCCCCACTCTAAAGTATTATGGTCTGCGGAGAACTGCAGTTGATTTTAAGGGCCTGTAATTTACATGAAATGACATTTTTGAGGAACTTATGAGCATAAGGGCCAGAGCCTCAGCTGGTGAAGATCAACACAGAGTGAATAGCGCTAGGCCAATTTACACCAGCTGAGGCTCTGGCTCAGAGAGTCTTGTGCTGAAGGGTAGAGTTGCTGCTACTATTAAAACCACACACATTTTGAAGGGTGGGGGAGTGGTGAGCATGCTAGCCCATCTCATGGTATAGCACCACCTGGGTTACTATGAGGCGGAGGTCACAGGTCTAGAAATTTGATAATACAGTGCACCTTCAGGGCCAGGTCATCCCTATTACTGGAAACAGTGTATAGTGAGTGAACGCGGGCTAAATGCATGAGAGGAATACTGCAGGGCTGCTTGCATTCATGCTTTAAGACAAAGATCCCATTTTAAGTAGCAAATATCACACAAGAGCAGCAGAAACCTAAGTGCTTTGAGATCAGTAGGTAGAAGGTGCTGCATATGCATAGAGCATTCTCCTCCTCGAAAGCTTGGCCAGTTTCACGGACTTATTTGCTTCTCCATCCCAGCGTAGAATGTGCACCCGCTGAGTCTGAAATGCAGCTAGAAAAGTGTTTCAGTCACTGAGTATAAGAAGACTTTTTCTGCTGCTGCTCTTTGTTGGCATGAGTTTGCTCTAGTGCTTTGCTTCATGTGCTGACAGACTACTGACTTGCTACCTTATGCATCTGCTTTCAAGATCCAGCAATGAGAAAATATAATCAAGTAATTAATTCTTGAGAGAGAGACCAAAGTGTACTGTGATCAAAAGGAAGGAGCTATACGGCCTTGTCAAACAATCCTGCAAACACACTGAACATGCTGAAAGATGCACAATGGTGAAACTCTTCTACTGATGCCCTTCTCCCCCGACAATAGCTCATCTATTATGCCTGGTCTACACTATGCGGTTAGGTTGATGTATGCTGCCTTGTGCCAGCCTAGCCGTGGAAGTGTCTTCGCTTGAATTTGGCTCTTGCTGACTTACATGCCTCTCTCGCTGATTTAGTAATACCACCTCCCCGAGCGGCATAGAGTCACAGTTGATGTAGTTAGGTCAATGCAGTGTCAGTGTACACACTACGTTTTGTACGTCGACTTGTTACTAGCCTTCAGGAGCCGTCCCGCAATGTCCCACATTGACAATACAATCGATAAAAGCGTTCCTGGTGAGGACGTGCACCGCCAACACAAGAAGCCAAAGTGTACACACACAAGTGATTTAATAACTGCGGTGGCTGTAAGTTAGGTAGACAATTTTATATTGTAGACATGGCTTTAGACAAGCAGCGGAGCAGTGCGAAGGCCTGCCATTTGCCTAATTCTCATTGATTCTAGTGAGGGTTGGGTCTCTAAATCCCTTTGAGATCTGGGTTTAAGCACCCACACCAAGATTTTCAAGTGTGACTAGTGGTTCTGGGTGCCTCCATTTTTGGGGGGTTCAAATTGAGACAGAAAGTGCTGTGCACCCACTCTATCAAAATTCAGCCCCAGGAGGTGTCCCATGTTGGGCACCCTAAATCACTAATCAATTTGTGGGAATCTTAGTCTTTAAACTTAGATTGTGAGTCTTTGGGGCAGTCTTCTCATGATGTGTGTGTGCAGTACCTAGCACAATGGGGCCTCCAATAAACAGACTACATTTAAAATGAAAGGTAGTGATGGATCATGGCCTTAGCTTACACCCGCACTTTCCCCACCACGCTGTACACATACATCATAAATATACTTTATTTGGAACCCTCATAAAGATATTGTCTGTTGATCGCTAAGATCTGTACTCAAACCTCCTAGCTATCTCCTGTCTCCATAATGAGCCAGACAGTCCTGAACATTGAGGAAGTTCATAACAGACTGACCCACAGGATCCAGCTATGTTCATGGCATACTTGCAGGGAAGGCAAATAAAAATATCAAATACTGCGGCTGGGAGGTTGCACTGTAACACTACGTTATTTTTTAGAATTCAGAAGAACAACACACAGTAATCGAAAGCAGAGAAACAAAGCTGGATGCTTCCTGAGGCAGAGAGGCACAGCTCTCCCCATCTTATTCTAGGCTGACTGCCTGCTTGCTTCAGCTCCCTAGCCGGCAGGTAGATCAGGAAACAGCCCCCCACCCCTGCCCACTTTTAAAGTGACAACTTGCAATTCCAACAGTCCTCAGTACAAGACAGGTTCTCCTCTTTGACGTACACAGCAAACATGCCATGTTGTAGGACTGAACAGCCCTTTGCTCCCTGTAGCTAACTGCCTTCTCTGACAAGCCACCAATATAAAAACACATTAAGCAATATTTTCTAAAGTAACAGAGGCTTACTGGTTGGGTGGACCTTTCAAAAGGGGCTGGCACAGGCCAGCTTGGGGGCAAGGAGTTGAGGGGCGGCTCCAAGAGCAGGAGAGTTCTGCAGAAACTGGGGTGGTGACCCCATCAGACAGCCACATTTATTGCCTGAAAAGTACTTTGTGAAATGGAGCCTCAGTTTCCCACTAAAGGGAGCATTGACATAAACCCAAGAGTAAATTCTAAAGAGGCTTAAGAGGAAATGAAGCTGCCTCTGTGGTTTGTTCTTCCTTTTTAATATCCTCACTGGCTGAATTGTGAAGCTCTAAGTCAATGCCAAGAAGCTAATTTTTTTGTAGCTGTACTAATGCAGCAGTGATTTATGCTAGAAGAGGGTACAGTGCATATTAATGGAGTAGATAAATAATGCAGCATGTCAAGAACAGCTGCTACTAGAACTAGCATGATGCAAGATAAAGACTCTATGTTAGGCCATAAGGAAGGTTTTGTACAACAAATGGAGGATGGATTGAAAACCTTTTAAAAGCCGTGGCCCAGATGTTCAGCTGCTGTAAGTAATGTACTCCCATTGAAGTGATTATATTTACAACAACTGAGCCTGTGGCTCCCGACCTCTGTTTTGTTGATCAAGGCACCCTGGATACAACATGGAGCTCAGGATCCAAACTCCACTCTAGATCCAGACTCACCTTAAGGGCCCAAATGTCCTTTAAATGCAATCTCCTTGTTACACTGGAATGCCCCCTAGTGGTATCTTTCTATCCTGATCTGCTTGGCTAGCTTGGCAAAGTGAGCCCCCTATTGTCCAGCCAATTCTAAATAGAATGGGGGGGTTGGTTTGGTTTTTCCATTTCATGCTGGTGAAAAGTGCCAGGATGACAGTCCTGCACCTCCATGTAGCTACAGGACAAACATAGTCTGGGTAGCAGCAGCCCAAGCGTCCTCTCTTCTGCAAATCTTCCTTGGAGGGGCCACCTGTCTCCATGGCCTGTTCATTCATGGCCTTTCTACTGCAACTGCCAAGATAGGGGGTAGCTGTGGTGGCAGCATTTGTGATGTGGACACTTGTCCACTGAGAAGTGAGCTGCAAGCCATCAAACAGCCATATCAGATGGTGATAAATTTTGACTTTGGCTGGATTCATCTCATCAACTCAAGCTGTTTACATTGTTACCAATCCCCTGACTCAACCCAGTCCCTTGGAATATTTCTCTTTAGACACTGGTATGGTACAGGACAGAAGGAGAAAGCCACAGGAGGGCATCACAGTCAAGTACCACTTCCATAGTGTGGGTGTGCCACTCAGAGGAAGCTGCAGGCTATCAGTGAGCATGGCTGTTCCTGGAAAGCAAAGTAAAATACAGGGTGGGGAAGATTAGAAAAGTACAGAATGAGTCCTCTGTTTCCTGTTATTCAGGAGTCTTAACAAAGCCGTCAGCTTCCACTGACAAGTGTTTTCCACTCAGCCTATGACATCACTAATTGAGTATTCCAAGCCCAGGATGTGCTGTTTGCAATAACATTCCAGAGCTGTTGAAATGTTGCCTTGCACATTCTTTGGGATCCTGGAGCGCTGTGGGTAAAAGAGCCACACGCAATAGAAAGGGGTGAGCCGAGCAAGGTGCAGAGGAGAACCAAAGCCTGTAGTAAGAGCACAGCCTCCAAGCTAATCCTGCCTGAGAGTAGGAGCAAGACGACACCTATTATTACGTTAGTACCTCATGACCCTGAACTTGATTGGGGCCCTACTGTACTGTGTGCTGTACAGATCCCAAGGATGGACATTCCATACCCAAAGAGCTTACAGTCCCAAAAGACAAGAACGGCAATGGGTGGCAGAGCCAGGATTAGAATCCAAGTGTCCTGACTCCCCGTGCAGTTCAACGCCCTATCTGCTGTACCCAAACTGCTTTCCCAGGGGGCTACAAACTCATTGGTTTTACTATCTTCAGACACACCCACATATTTGACTCTGTTCTCTGGGAAGTAAGAGAGCAGAAGCACTACAGCTCACTCCAGTGGATGGTGCCTAGCACTTGACTTTGCTTGCATCCATGTGTGCAGCCATGAGTGCATCCTTCACTCACATTCGTCCTAACACGCAACACACCGTGCAAAGTTTACAAGATTATGGTCTGATCCTGAGTTCAGTGGGAGTTCGGAGGTGAATGAGTGAAGGGGTCCAAGCCTCTCGGGGCACTCAGCACCTTTTCTGGGAAGCTTTTAATAAGCCTAAGCCTTGTGTGAACTTTATTTGTGTGGCTCAGGACTCCAGAACATCCTCCCATTGGAGATCAGGAAAAGCCTCCCCATGCCAACTTCAGATCATGCCATAAGATCCAGCTCTTCCCCACAGCACTCTCCAAAGAGCCATAATGGAAGAAAATCCCAGGGTATGCACCAAACTAACAGCCCATGGTGAGCCCAGAGCAGGACAGAGCATTGATGAGATGCTCAAAATCACGAGTCCTGATTACACCTAGGTTAGGCAAGGGA